GAATATGAAATACAGAATAGTTTTTAAAATAATTATTTTCGGATCGATAATGTATTTGAACCTTACCCAAATACAACAGCAGCTTAATTCAAAGCAATATCTTATCAGTTCATGATGTACATAAATGATATCGAACTAAAAATCATTTAATACTTATAAAACTTAACTTGTCATTGACGGTGTGTTTAGAAGAAATCTAAACGAAAAGAGAAAGATTTAAATATAAGATGAAAATTTACCAATGGATAAATTATGAAAATTAGACCTACATAATAATAATAATAATAATAATAATAATGTTACTCTAACATAAAAATTTTATATTTTTGTTGTATTCATATTTCATCAAAAAACGCTGTTAGCGCAATCTCTACGGGATTAAAATGTGACACACGATGTAGCTGTTGTTGCCAATCTTCTAAAAGCTGTTCTTTTTTATGCATATTGAAGCACATTGCTTCATCATGGCTTACTTTACATGATAGAGGTTGAACAGGACAATACTCCATATATGCTTCAATTATATGTTAGGTATATATAATCTCTGATTTTTTCTTGAAGTCTTCTATCACAGTCTATGATGACCCCTGGAGCCGGTCTGTCACGGTCTGTGGGGGGAGAGGGGGGAGTCCAAATTTCTACCCCTAAACACTTCAACACTCCTTTCAGATCGTGTTTTCACAAAAATATGACTCTTTCTATGTAAGATGATAACTTAGTGAGCGATCTTGTATTTCAACCTAACCTAAACAAAAAACGTTATTAACAGTGATACTTTACGATTGAACGTAAGTGGAGCTTCAAGCAGGTTACCACTTTTCGCTAATATTTGTAATGAGACTTGAGCCAGAAAGATTAGCATTGTGTCAGATACACCATCAAGTATACTATATTTCAGTACAGGTTCAAAAAATTTTTATCACGATGTAAAGCTGACAAATACAAGAAACAAGTTTTCAAGCAATGTTTTTAACGGAAATATCACTATCTTAGTCAATATTCGTTCAAGCTGTTCTGTCAGTTGCGAAAACACTTGCGCTACCTAGAACTCGACGCAGTCTATTGATTGATATCCGACAAACCTTTAATCGACGCTAATCTGCAATTCTGAGTGGTGAAAACCTGACTAAAATGTGCTTGTAGACCCATTTTGGGATGACATATTCATTTGGGTGTTTGTTCCAGCTGCAATATCATCTGTATTTAATAGAACTTAATAAAATGCATCGATTGCTATGCAAGAAGTAATGATCTTATATGAACTCATGCTAGAATGCTATTGTAAGCTAGCAGGGCTGTGTTAGGTGGAGTTTCTGAGGCTAGATATACGCGACTAGAGTGTGAATGTATGGGTGTGGATGGTGTTCTTCTTTCCTGGACACACACCTCACACCCAAACCCTATAATTTAAAAAAAAATTGTTGATAATATTAAATGAACCAGCAAAGATATAGTAAAAAACTTTTGGTAAACGATTTTCCGGACATCCTGTATGTATGGATTAGTTGATCGATGTACCACTCATTTCTACGGAGCACCAGATATTGAATTTGAAATATCCGATTGTAAAAATTGCCTTTAGCAACAGAGAGATACTTGTGTAAAAATACAATACAAAAGATTAAAAAATCACTATTGACGAAATTGACAGCAAGTTTACCTCGAATTGGGTGTCAACTCTATACATCATGGCGATTTTTAAGATGAGCAGTTAAAGAGAACCTCTATCTTCATCTATAGCACCTAATAGTCCTGGCAAAGTCAAATGATCATCTGAAAAAACGTCAGTTATACAACATATTGGACGTATCGGGCGCAGCGGGATGACGAAACAAAATCAATCCCTTTCGTGATGAAAATATTTTCGGTGGACGTTGTGTTTATTTGACAAAATGATTAAATATACATGTCAAGTTGGAAACTAGCAGACAAAAATGCTGGTATTCATTTGAAACCCAGTACATAAATTCTATTTCATTTGTAATCATGACAAGAGATTACAAGTTTTGAACAACACTACTGTTTCATGGTTTTCGGAGTCCATTATTCTTTATTAGACATATATTTCAATCATAGTTGTTCCTAGATTAATATTTTGCACTGTTCGAATGCTCTTCGTTACCATATTATTAGAACTGTATGCTCAGCCTCAACTTGTATACATTTGAAAGAAGCAAACAAGATGTGCGATTTTCTATGCGCAACTCATTATAATTTATTATTCATACTACTTTCTATTCATATTTTTTTTACAATTTCTCTATCAATTATACTTACCTGAATAAAGAATATTAATGGACTCATTCAAAGACCGATTCTCTTTTTATGTCAATAACATTAATGGTTTATTCCTCAGTATTCATTCAGCTGTACGGATAAATAACCCTGTAGAGAACAAATCAATATTATAAATCGCTTACAAACCTGTATACTAATAGTTACAAGGCCAATATTCGTTCACGATAGTTATGTCGACCAAAACCGTATTAACTATTATCGCTTTGATTTATTTGGCTGGTACATCTGCCTTGATCTGTTCTATTGGACAGAAGGCTTGTGGTAATAAATGTTATTTTCCGATTGCTCATCAATGCGTTGATGGACATATGTGCAAAATTGGACAGAAAGTATGTGGTAGTCAATGCTATTATGATGTTGGACTCCACGAATGCCTCGAAGGACATCTGTGTAAAATTGGACAGAAAATTTGCAATGGACAATGCTATTATCCTGTCGCTCAAACATGCATCAAGCGTCGAATTCTGATCTAAATGAGAGACTTTACAGAAAATAGTTTAGTAAAAATGCTGTCTGTGTGTGTTCTTAATATACTAAATGCTACTAGTTTTCCTTTATAATTCGAGATTTTTCATAAAATAACAAATAATAACCAATCAATATCGAACATAACAAACGAACGTTCATAGTTGCGATCTATGAAGCTATCAGATCAAAGAACATGAATGTATGGGATTTGAAGCAAAAGATCAAAAAGAAAATGATTTTCAAAGGTTGTGCACTGTGATGAGGAAAAAAGAGACACGACACCAAGTACTCCTTGACTGACTAACTACACTGTAATTTAGAAGATAATGTATAGAGAACAGAAAATGATATTCTTGGAATGCCCATACGAATTCGATGATGGATTTATATTTTCTTGAAAATAGGATATTCAAATAATTCCAAAACTCAAGTTTCGATCTTCTAGCCAGAAAATCCCGATTGTAATCATGTAGACATTTCTAGAAAATCAAACTCGATTTCGCGATACGAATATTTTTCAGAAACTAGAATATCTATAAAAACTTTTCATTTTCACAACAAGTTGTTCTTTTATTGTATATCTATGTTACTTTTATTCTTAGTATTGCTTATAGGTTACAAACGTATATACAATTTAGAACAACTTAAACATTACTTGAGGTATGAAACTTTAAGGGAGGGGGAATCATCTTCGCCTTTCAACGGTTTCTTCTGAACGGCTCGGCAAAAAGTTATGAAACTTTTAGGGCAGACATATTTCCATAAGTAGAGCAAAAGTTGTTATTGACTCAGAATTCCTACATGATCTCTTTAGGAACATATAGGGACCAAAAGGGCCAAAAATGAGTAGAAGTTTTCTCCCGTATAAATTAAAACTTTATCTTTCTGAGTTGCATTTTTTTCTATGACAAATATGGTCAAATCGTTGTGTATCTTATTTTTCTTCAAAGAATATCGTTTCTACACTTCACGAGAGGCAAAATACGGAAAGTACTATAAAAAAAAATGTCTTTTTGTCAATCGTGAGAATTTTCTAAAGGCTGCGAAACTCCATATGAACACTATTTTCAAGAGAATATCGGTGTGGAATATAGGCGTAACTAACTAGAACAGGGTGTGGCTGTGGCTGTGGCTGTGGCTGTGGGTGTGTGTGTAGGTCAAGATTTTGAATTTATACTAATAATCACACCTACACCTATACTCACACACTCACACCAACCCATTCCCTAAATAAAAGATGGAATATAAAAACTTCATCCTAAATAGAACTTTTCAAAATGATAGGAACCAACAGAAATAATAATTTATAAATTACCGTCTATGGTACTCAATTTCACTCATGCTAGCCATGAAAGCCAATATTATACCGACATCACGTATAACCAAACTACGCAATAAAGCATTCACTTTGTTTTGAAAATATGAAAGATTTTCATTAGGCTGGCCAAAATCCTTTAATTATGAGCACTGAAGATTAACAACTCAGAAGGAGTATAGGAACATGTGAGGATTTACAAAACTTAGGCCTGTCAGAGTGCAAACTACTTATAGACGTATAGCTAAAAATTTATAAGAACTAAAAGTATCACGTTCCAGCTGCTATGATCAGTTACAATGAACCGCATTATATAAAACTATGCCAATGCACCATACAAACAATTTTTCCCTTATTTCGGCACGCCGTACAGAAACGCGATAATAGTCAACTATAGTTTCCTCTACGCTTCGAAAAAAAGCTATAAAAGCTAAGTGTAGATTATTTATCTTCTCTACGAGCCTAGTATCATCTGATGAGACCCTACAGCAAGATTGAAAGACATCGTGGTGTCCTTGACATACCTACACTCTACACCTAACGAAAGTCTTTGTCAAAATGAAACGCATTGTGATAACTTCACTTGATAGTTTTTGTGTTTATGTAAACTTTATTAATTCTCAACGCACACCCACATGGAAAATAGTTAGAAAACATATTAGTAGCACTAAGTAGAAGTTAGAAATTGTGAAGCAATGAAAAAAAACTCAAGTCAGAAGTGGCAATATTAACAAGTCTGTAAAAAAGTTTTTAAATTGTCAGCACCTTCGTTAGCGGCGACGAAATCCAACTTTCCATCATTGTCTAAATCGCCAACGGAAATCGCAAATGGAAGAGATCCATAATCGGTAGAAAAAAACCTTACACTTGCGAAGGAGCCATTCCCATATCCAAGCAACATACCCACATTATTTGTACCCTAATTGGCAACAATAATGTCTAGCAAGGTGTCGTTGTTGAAATCACCAACTGCAACCGCATTTGGTTGAGAATTAAAACCGGTCATAAACGTTGTTTGACTTGAAAAAAAACCATTACCCCATCCAAGAAATATACCAATAGTGTCATTGCCACGATTCACGACAACAATATCAAGTATAGTATCGTTGTTGAAATCACCAACAGCTACAGACCATGGAGAAGATTTAGTTGAATATATCATTTGATTTGCGAAAGAACCATTGCCATATCTCAGAAAAATACCGACGTTGTTACTTCCTGAATTCGCCACTGCAATATCTATTTGACTGTCATTATTAAAATCCCCAATGGCGAATGACTTAATTCGAGACCCATTCCCAGTTATGAGCCTCATTTGGTTTAGAAAACCTTCATTGGGATGTCCCTGATATACACTAACACTTATCTCATTATTATTCGCGACAACGATATCCAGTTGTGTGTCATTATTAAAATCGCCAACAGCTATAGCTGAAGGACTATAGCCAGTTGAATATGTCTTTTGTCTTGCAAAAACGCCATCGCCATATCCAAGAAGTTGTCATTCCAGTTGCTGATGACGATATCCAGTCGGTTGTCGTTATTAAAATCATCAATAGCTACTGAAGTTGGTCCAGAGCCAGTTGAATATTTCGTTTGATTTGGGTGGGTGTGGGTGTGGGTGTGGGTGTGGGTGTGGGTGTGGGGTGTGGATGTGGGTGGGTGTGGTTGTGGGTGTAGGAGTGTGGGTGTGTGGGTGTGGGTGTTTTTTTGGTCTTTAATCACAGCCACACCCACACCCTTCTTTCAGTTTTCGTCATATTTTTTCGTTTAAGGTCTATAGAGAACAATTTTCACCAATAGAATTAAACGTCAATCAATAACTGCTCGACAATGTTGGCATTTCAATTGAAAACTACATAAATTAGTATTACAACTAGAAATGATTAACTATTATGGAACATGATTGTTTTGATGGAAACAAACAGGAAACTCGAAATTCGGTGCAGGAGGAGTGAAAGTGGATAAAATGCGAGTGTGAAGGGTTTGTTTGGCTCACCTACATTCCTATTCTGAATCGATCTATAACTAGAGTTTCAAAAAGTGTTGGGTATAATAATGAACAAAAATTTTGGTTGACTGTTCAAAACTAATGATTTTACTAATCAATATGGGGATATGTTACAATCATATGCAAAGAAGATTTTAGTAAGTAGGATGCCTGGGAAGAAGTGCAGTCGATTCTCAGGATAATACTTGAATACTAAAATGCTAACTGACAAATATTATTATGTTTTCTTGTTTGTAGATCAATACTGACATAGATATTGAATCTAAGTCGTCATCAATTCATTTGACACGTTACTGAAATTATCAAAAACAAATGAGCGATATGTGAATTCAATCTTTATTTGTCTTTAATAGTTTCCAACTATGTTTCTTTTCGTTCCATAAAATCTTAGCATTTCAGTATGAAAGCTGGTCTCAATTCAATGACCTTCATAAGTTTCTTTTTGCCTTTATCAGACAATCGACAGCCTTCGATCCAGAGCTCTTTAAATGATCGACTGTTCTTGATCATGTCAATCAGTGAATCGACGCTCGCATCAGTTACTGCATTGTTTTCATCGAGACACAATCCTTCTAAACTGATGTTGTGCCTCTCGATCGCTCTAGCTAATAGTCGCACACCACGATCGTCTATTTCATTATTGAATAGTCCTAGACCAACCAGTCTACTATTTTTCTTTAACATTTCAGCGAGATACTCCACACCTTTATCAGTAATTCCATTCCAGCCGAGCCCTAGTTGTTGAATATGGTTATTGTTGGTTTCCAGCGCTTTGGATAAAGCTTTCACGCCTTCGTCTGATATTTCATTATGGCTAAGATATAACTCTGCCAGCGTAGCATTACTCCGCAATGCATCAGCAAGTATTGAGGCACCCTTTGATGATATTCTATTGTATTTTAATGAGAGTACTCTGCATTGTTTCTTGATAATTCCTTCTCTGACAATAATTTCCATATCTTCATCAGTCAATTGCTGGTTGTCTAATTCTACTACCGAATAAGACTTGAAACGAGCGATGTGTTGTTCAAGTTGGACATTTTGATGAAGCGTGGATTCTGCAGAGAAGAGTTGATAAAATGAATGTGGGTAAACAAAACTGAAGTGTGGATGCGACGTTTGTAACTGATAAAGATTCATACATTGGTCCTCATAACGTTATCATCTATCAAGGAAGAGTTAGCTAGTTGTCTACCGAGAAGTTTTACTATAATTTCAATTTCTATCTGTGAGACAAGATATTCCTTTTGTGTTGCTTGGATCAAAGAGTTCCTAGTTTAAACTTAAAATTCAAAGAAAGGCAAACATTCCCGATATTCAGTAAAAAGAAGAAATTTCATTGTGGTTAAAAATAAACTGCAATTTATTATTGGGTGACCCACTATCTAAATCGATTGACTTGTATGCGGCACTACGAAGTTCGGTGTCATGCAACCTCCTTCAATGAAACTGATACTCGCACTTTCTAGATCATTCAAATGCCCAGGAGCAGATAGAGATATTCAAACCACCGATTAAAATCTAATTACAAGAACTTCACTATTTGGGTTTTAAAAAGCATAGAAACAGCTTAGAATCTTGAGAGTAACTGGTACCATTGAAAATAAGCTTCCCAGCCTCACTCTTTAGTAAGATACTTCAATGACTATCTCATAGATGAGTACTGCAAAGAAGAAAGAAGAGAAAGAATTTCTGTGGTACTACCTGTCTTCTTTTCTTTGAATATGTTGGGTACCATTTTTGAAAGCTATAAAATAGACATGATTCAATGAATATTACTAACAAAAAAAGAAAAGAAAAGAAAAAACTGACTGACCGAACTAGTTGTTTCTCTAAAAGTGTCAGTATTGATGCCGGTTGTACTTGCTAGTGCTCTTGCGCTATCTTGTAGTCTTTTTTTCCAGCTCTATTCATCTCTGCGAAATAGAGAAGAGAAAGAAAATTTGTTCTTTACTTACAGATCGTGGACTTTTTTGCGAATCTTCGACTTCAGATTCTTGCATATTATGTGATTTTAGTATAATCGTAGCAGTAGAGTTGGGGTTCTGAAGGTTTGATCTAATACCTATTTCATTGTACAGATATTATTACAGAGTGACTGGTCAATATTGAGTCTCTGAACATTTTGTGAATAACTTTTAACAGATATGATGCTAAATATCTTTGCAATTGTATATCATATTTCAGCTCTATATTCTTATATGAACATAATATTAAGATTACTTCGTTCCCGAAAATGATAAGCATTATCAAAAACTAGGATATATGAGAGTTCAACATTTCAATAGATGTAACACTAAGGACAAATTGATACAGAATATTTAGTAACCTTGTTTGCAGAAAAGAAGCTAAGATTTTTTTCTCTCAAAAATCGTTTTCCAAGGAAATTCGTCAACAAAAGCTACATATAAACGAAATTTTCCAATCTTTTCTAACCTAGAAAAATAATGCGTCTCTTACGCAATAGATTATCCTTTACTGTAATTTGTACAAAACATCTGTTTTGATTTCTCTTATAGTAGTTTACGATCAACAGAAATGGATTACTTTCGTGATAGTGTTGCTCTCTGAGAGCATTTCCTAGCTCTTGGAATTTTGGTCGATCCTCTGCATTTGTCGACCAAGTTTTAAGTATAATCGACCAATATTGCTGACTACAATTTGGCGGTTGTAGTAGATGTTGTCCAGATCGTACATGTCGAATAACTTCCTCATCGTCTGAAATATATGACCACGGTATTTCACCTCGTTTATACGCTTCCCACATTAAAACACCCATGGAATAAATGTCGGATTTCTCTGTATAAGCATGGTATGTTACATCTGATGAAAGTATTTCTGGTGCCGCATATCGAATTGGAACAATATTTATTCGTGTTTGTGCAGCAACTGGTTCCATTGAATAAAGTTGAGTATTCCGACTAATACCAAAGTCGGTAAGTTTGACATGATTATTTCTTGGATTAGATGCGTCGAAACGAAATACAAGCACATTGCGACAGGCTAAATCACCATGTATAACATTGTTATGAGTCAAATACGCCATAGCATCAATTATCTGTAAAAATATTTCGATAAATACCTCTTCGTAGATGACCGTACTACAATCTTGTAATTTGTGGAACAAATTCCCTTCAGGTGCATATTCTTGTAGTAACATCACTGAATTATCATTACGATTATTCTCAGTATCATATACCAAACCAAATGTTCGAACAATATACGGATGACGACTTAAATCTACATAGAATGACGCTTCTTTTCTTGCACGAGTACCCTCAATTTTTAAAAGAATTATTTCTGGTCGACCCCTGTTTGTGGGCAACCATTGAGCACGATATATTGATTTTCCAAATGTTTGAATAAATGGTTGACTTTCTCGTTTTTTCACATCGATACCAAGTGTAAATTGATAGTTTTTATTACGAGTGGATTGTTCAAAGGAATCGATCAGTTGTCTCACAAGAATATTTGGATATAAGTATTCAAGAGATAAAGATTGTCGGGTTATTGGACTTGTTCCATGTTGTCGAATCCATTCTTCGATAGCTTGTCTCTCGTAGGTATGACCGTCTTGTGCTAATACTGGATCCGTAAATAGTTCAAAAGTTATTGGACAAAATAAAGATTCTTCAGGTGTTGCCATAGATAAGAAAATCGATCTATGAATAATTGATTCATTATTAACTATAACTCAAAAGATTTTATAATGATCACCAACGACCTAGTGATCAAAAAAAGTGAGCTCCAAACTGCGTAAACTCCAACTTTGAAGCTCACCTACGCCTTCATGTTTTACTCATTGACCTCAGTTAAGGCCATAGAGTTCACTGCAAATAGCAGCATCCCATCAATCCAAACCATACCCAATTAACCCTCGGTACATCTGAATTACTTAATTAATTAGCACTCACCTTGATTACTACTCACCTTAATCAGTACTCACCTTAGTTAGTACGCACCTTAATTAGTACTCATCTCCAGGGTCCTCAAGGTCTACTATAAGGGGGGGGGGGTACCCTTGGGTTCTCAAGGTCTACGATAGGGGGGTACCCTTGGGGCCTCAAGGTGTACTACAGGGGGATACCCTGGGTTCCTCAAGGCCTACTATTCAGGGTACCCATAGATCCTCCAGTTCCACTGTTTAGGGATACCCTTGAGTCCTGAAGTCCTACTGTAAGGGGCAACGTGAGGTCCTCAAGTCCTACTATAGGGGCGCCCTTCGGTCCTAGAGTCCTGCTTGTTAAGGAGTATCCATCTGCCCTCAAGTTATATTATAGGAGTACCCTTAGGTCATTTAGTCCTACTATTGGCGGGTAGCGGCGCCTCCTCAACTCCTATTATTTGGGGGTGAATTTCGAGCTCAAGCATTATATTCAGGGGTATCCTTCAGTCCTCAACAATCACTGGCACTGTGAAATCAAAGCACACATCCTCCGGAACCTACATAATGACCAAATAGACTACTCCGCATCCGCGCTCTATTTCTTAGGGGCACACTGCTGGGATCCCTAAACGAACACATCGCATATGATAGACCGCCCTGCAAATTGTAACATCCGCTCAAACATCACTTGTTATTTTCACCAAAACATACACGAAAAACTCTTCCTGAGATCTTCTTCATCAGATTTTCGACCAATAAGATTTCACAGGGCCATTTCTTTCTTATTGTTCAGACAACCACTAGTCATGTTGGGGCCGATCCTAGGGTTATCGAGGATTCTCTATCGAATGACGGGTATATATATGGGCCTTGCTAGCTTCTATCACTGAGAAATAGAAACTCCCAATCTCATTGGTTCCTTGCTGGACAAGCAGATTTCTGATTGCTTCTTCGGTATTATCTCGGAAATTAATGTTATAGCAGGATCCAAGAACGCTATGGTACCCCATAGGATAGCTGATGGCGACTTATGGGTACTCCTATAGGATAGCCCATGGTGACTTATGGGTACCCTCCTAGGATAACCCATGAGTACTTGTGGGTACCCCCATCGGATAGCGCATGGCGATTTAGGGTACCGCCCTAGGATAGCTCATGAGGACGTATGGGTACTCCCCTAGGATACCCCATGGTGACTTATCGGTACCCCCTAGGAGAGCCCGTGACGATTTATGGGTAGCCCTATAGGATACACTGTAAAAAATAGGCGTAGAATAATAAACCCTTCAAAAGGGTTTATTAGCCTTATAAACGCTTTCATATACCCTGTTAGTGTCATAAACCCTTTCATATACCCTTTTCCTTCATAAACCCTAGGAAGGGTATATTATTC